AAGACCTTTACCTATGTATATACTTTATATGTGTGTTGGCGTATATGTGTGGTTTTGCACATGTGTTGTAATGTAATTTTTGGTTTTTTGGGCTTTTAAGTCCCTTCTGTTGTGTTTTTCAGTGTTTTTATGAGTGATGGTCACTTGTTGACTTTATAGGTATATCGTGTCCAAATTTGGTGTCAATTCATCCAGTGGTTTTTGAGATGTGTTAATCCCACAAACGAACATTACATTTTTATTTATATAGATTTATTTTAGTTTGCCATGGATTGCACCAAATACTGCATTGTAGCTGACCAAAGGAGTAGAAAAGCTAAATTATACATAAATAAAGGAGCTAAGCTTTAAAAGGGTTGGGAGGATTCAAGTTTCTTTAAATTATATCTTGACCTTCCTGTGGACGATAAAATCTACTGTAATTCATTCGTAAAGCTGCTATCCAGATGTACGAATGTAAGCAAATACAATTACTTTCCTGAAATCACAATGGCTACTTGTTCCAGTTAGCCCTGAAGGGGCATCCAAAGGGCTTTCTTGGACTTCAGAGTTCATCTTTACAGTCATCTTGCCGATTTCCTATCCACCTATTTCCGTCTTTAGTCGTTTTTAAAATTACGATTCCTGGCTGGGCAGACAATAGCTTTAAAACTGAGTTCAAAGTGGTCAAGGAAAAACATCACTTCCAACAACGTACATATGTTATTCAAAGAGCGACAAAGTGTTTATCAGAGAGGAAAGTGGCATTAACAGACACACCATGAACAATAATTCCCACTTCTGAATTCTGCTTCCAAGAAGTATTTAAATTGCCATATTTCCACCTTCAGATCTTTCACTGCCTAGTTTCCCAGGCTGAGTTCAAACTACTTTTTCTGCTTTATCACAGCCAACTTTGATCTTCCTTTACGATCTATTAAGAAAGAGAAAATGGTAATTCTTAACCATCTTACCCAGTGCTGTAATTGCACTGTTTTAAATTGTTTAAATTGATTAGGTAAGGTAAAGGTTGTCCCCTGACATTAAGTCCAGTCATGTCTGACTCTGGGGTGTGGTGCTCATCTCCATTTCTAAGCCGAAGAGCCAGCGTTGTCCGTAGACACCTCCAAGGTCATGTGGCCGGCATGACTGCATGGAGCGCCGTTACCTTCCCGCCGGAGCGGTACCTTTGATCTACTCACATTTGCATGTTTTCGAACTGCTAGGTTGGCAGAAGCTAGGACTGACAGCGGAAGCTCACGCCGCTCCCAGGAATCGAACCTGCGACCTTTCGATCAACAAGCTCAGCAGCTCAGTGCTTTAACCCACTGCGCCACCGGGGGCTCCATTTAAATTGATTAGTTTTGATTAATCTTTATTAAATGATGATTAGTTATTATTTTAAACTGATTTTATCCTAAATCAAACAGAGATCTTCAGATATAGGGTAGAATATCAATAAATAAAAGGCTCCCCAATGGCACAGCGGGCTAAACCACTGAGCTGCTGAACTTGCTGACCGAAAGGTTGGCGGTTCGAATCCGGAGGCTCCTTCTTTGGAGGCTTTTAAGCAGAGGCTGGATGGCCATCTGTCAGGAGTGCTTTGAATGTGATTTTCTTGCTTCTTGGCAGAATGGGATTGGACTCAATGGCCCACGAGGTCTCGTTCGACTCTGTGATTCTATGAAAGCCAAGACAGAGTGGGAACTGAGGATGTTCTGATTCACTGTCATCATAGGCAATCACTCGTGGCTGAGTATGACCATCTTCCAAAAGCAGACATATAACACATACTTACTGCATTCTGACCAATGGGGAATAATGTGTACAATATTTGAATTGTGCTACTTATGGTATGACCCCTCCCCCAGTAGTGCAGCAGGTTAAACCACTGAGCTGCTGAACTTGGTGATTGAAAGGTTGGCAGTTTGAATCTGGGGTGGGGGGTGAGCTCCCGTTTTTAGCCCCAGCTTCTAGCAGTTCGAAAACATGCAAATGTGAGTAGATCAATAGGTATCTTGTTGAGATTAACTTCACAATTCAGCAGCAGATCAGTTGCACAACTTCAGTGCTTTCCAGTAGCTTCTTCCTGCACAGTATTTTCAGTCAACTGCTTCCACAGCTTGAAGTCACTCTGGAACCTTTTACATATACTTGAGCACATGCCCGGCCATTGTCAGTTTTACCACTGTCTTTCCCCCAGTCTAGATGATATTACAAACTTACCACAGCATACAGTTATATCTTGTCTTAGCAGACAGGTTCTTTTAATTACATATAGCCTTAGACGAACAACATCACAGCACAAGGAGAAATATACACTGTACATGACTTCCTTATATACAATTCTATACAATTACACATAGCAATCTCTGATTGGTTCCCAACTCATTAACTTAACTCAGACCCAGGATTACATCATTCACAATCACCTGGGCTAGGCCAGAATACATTCCCCAAATGATTCCCTATATAGAGTTAATGCATGACTCAGCATTTCCAATAGAAGCTCATTAGCAGTGCATGACTCAGCTATATTACATTACAATACATTGTAAAACCTGACATATCTCTTCTGCAGGAAGGTAATGGTGCTCCATGCAGTCATGCTGGCCACATGACCTTGGAGGTGTCTACAGGCAACACCAGCTCTTCAGCTTAGAAATGGAAATGAGCACCAACCTCCAGAGTTGGACTCGATTAGACTTGATGTCAAGGGGAAACCTTTACCTTTACCTTTATAAATAAATAAACAATAAATAATTGTTGGGCAAAGGTCTTATACTTTGGGCCAACCACGTTATGCTAAGTATAAAGCACTAAACATAATGAAGCCGGGTTCAATTGTATTACTTTTGCACATTTTTGCAAAAAAACAGGTTTGTATAATTTCAAAAACCTGCCAAAGCTATTGACATGTGAATAGATAAAAGCATTCCTGATTTCCACATAGTTCTGAGTACTTTTGGTAGTCCCAGATGGAGCAAACACATTGAACACATTACACAAATGTCGATTCAGCATTTAACAATTGGTTTAAAAGATGCATTCCAGTTGGAATAGCCAACTAGGCCCTAGAACTCTGGATGAGACCGCCATTAGTATGAGGCCCCTCTGACTAGACCAGTATTTGCAAGCATTCTCAATGGCACAATGAATAAACTTTTTAGTACTTATACCAAAGTCCCACTTTCAAGAACTCTGGTGCCCTGTCAGTGTTTCCCATGCTCCCTGGTAGAGCAGTCCAGCCATTTATTTTTTAGTGTGCCATATCTGTGCAATATTATTATCATATTTGCATGGTTTCCCGTAATGTCACTATGAACCAGTATCTCATGGTCCACAGATGTGCCCCATGGAATGCCATTTTGAGTTGTATGGGTCATCTAAATTGCTGAGATACTTCATACCTTTTTTCTTGTGGTTTTTTTTTTTGTACAATTGACCCTCTGAACCAACAGATTCTATATCCATAGATTCAACTATCTATGGCTCAAAGATACACCCCCCTCCTCCTCAAAGAAATTAATTCCTTAATTTTGCCATTTTATGTAGGGAACACCATCTTACTGCCCCATTGTATATAATGGAACATGTGCATCCCTGGATTTTGGTAACCACAGGAACTCCTGGAACCAAACCCCAGGTGATACGATGGGCCTGCTGTATTTGTTTTATTAAGTGCCAAGAAGACATCAGGTACCACCTGATTTTGGAAGCTAAGCAAGGTCAGGCCTAATTATCCCTTGAATTTATTTATTTATTTACTTTACTTTACTTTACTTATATATCGCTGTTCTCAGCCCGAAGGCGACTCACAGCGGTTCACAACAAATAAGAACAGCAAAAATTCAATGCTACAGTGTAAAAACAGTTAACAACCTAACATATTACATAATTAATAAACAATTACTACAATAACCATTCACTATTCACTATCGTCTCATCATCAAAAACATGATCCAGATTCGTCATCCATTATTCCGTTCCAATGTTCATTAACCAATCATTGCACTAATTATTCGAATGCCTGCTCAAACAGCCAGGTCTTCACTTTCCTGCGGAATACCATTAGAGATGGTGCTAGTCTAATCTCCGTAGGAAGGGCGTTCCACAGCCGAGGATTCACCACCGAGAAGGCCCTATTTCTTGTCCCCGCCAGCCGTGCTTGAGAAGCAGGCGGGATCGAGAGCAGGGCCTCCCTGGAAGATCTCAAAGTCCTGGTGGGTTCATAGGCAGAGATGCGGTCGGATAGGTAGCTTGGGCCGGAACCGTTTAGGGCTTTAAAGGCCAACGGCAGCACTTTGAATTGAGCCCGGTAGCAAATCGGTAGCCAGTGGAGTTGGCGCAACAGGGGGGTTGTATGCTCCCTGCACTCTGCTCCTGTTAAAATCATGGCTGCCGAGCGTTGGACTAGTTGGAGCTTCCGAGCCATCTTCAAAGGCAACCCCACGTAGAGAGCGTTGCAGTAGTCTAAACGGGATGTAACCAGAGCATTGGAGGCTATATTTCAGAGGGAGGCCATGGCAAACCAACTTTAAGCATCCCTTGTCTAAGAAAAGTATGAATTCACAAGAGACACCTTTAAGTTGGCAAATTACTTGAAAGCACATTCAGTCAGTATATGCCTTCAAGTTGCAGGTTAATTTATGGTGGTCCCACTTTCATAGGTTTTTTTAAGGCAAGGAATACTCAGAAGTGGTTTTGCTAGATCCATCCTCTGAAATATAACCTACAACACCTGGTATTCGTTATTGAGCTTCCATTCAAGTACTAACCAATGCTGACCCTATATAGTTTCTAAGATCAGAAAAGATCTGCCACAAAGGTTGACATCAGTACAAGTTCTGGGGGAAAGGTCACCTATAAAGGGTTAGAACAAGAATGATAGAAAGATGATTCTATGATGCTGAAAATATTGAAGGTGCTTCCGAAACATCTTCCAGTGTCATACTAGTCTTACCTTCATCAGTTTTTGGAGAGTTGCATATTAATCACATTGATTTTGTCTTCATTTGCAGGCTATTGTGGTGACCGATGGAGAGAGAATTCTTGGCCTGGGGGATCTAGGAAGCTACGGCATGGGAATACCGGTGGGAAAACTTGCTCTCTATACTGCTTGCGGTGGTGTTCATCCCCAGCAGTGCCTTCCTGTCCTTCTTGACGTTGGCACAGACAACGAGGTGAGATTATGCCCTTACCACACTCCATCAAATCTTATGGGCTCCTGTATTTCTTTGGAAATACTCTATACAGTCATGCTCCCAATCACACCCTTGCCTGCTTACTTAATTCCTGTGTACCTTTGGTTTTCTCCAAAAGACTGATGCTCAGGGTCTCTGACAATAATATAATGAAAGAAAAAGCAAGTGATAAAAATATAAAGCAACTAAAACAATATCAATAAAAGAAAGAACAGCATCGATCTGGTTCAACATTTCTTCTAGAGCAAGCTCAGATTAACTGTGGAAATCTGCCCAAATAGACTTTTTAAAAAACTCTTGCATACTAATGGAAGGACAACAAGGAGTGTGCCATCCAGATTAGATTACTGTAACACACTCTACATGGGGCTGCCCCAGAAGAGTGTTTGGAAACTTTAACTGGTTCAAAGGTCAGCTGCTAGACTGCTTACGGCGGAGCAGGACATAGAGAAAGAACTACTCTGCTCCTGAAGCAGCTACACTAATTTCCAGTCTGTATCCAGGCGCAATTCAAGGTACTGGCTTAAGCGTATAAAGCCCTAAATGGTTCGGGCCCATCCTACTTGAGGAAACACATCTCCTCCTACCAACCCACTCGAGCACTGAGATCATTTTTCTTCGTCCCACCACTGTCGCAAGCACAGTTGGTGGGAACAAGAGAGAGGGCCTTTACAGTGGTGGCTCCACAGCTCTGGAACTCCCTTTCTATAGAGGCACGATCACTCCCCTCCTTACTGGCTTTTCAATCTCTAATGAAAACCTTTCTGTGGAGCCAGGCCTTCCCAGATGAATGATAATAGGCATTGCCAGATAGGTGCTGGTAATAGTGCTGAATGATTATTGGTCCTTATTGCAGCATGACCTTACGAAAATGGCGTGTCTTAGGAGTTCATATAATCTTATCTGTATAAAGAACTTCAGTGGTCGGTGATTAGGAGAAAAAAATGTAATGGTATGTGTTGTAAGTTATTAATTTGTCATATGCAGGGTGTTCAAATTGGGTTATTTTTTTAATTGGCTTGTAGTGTTTTAGTTCATTATGTATTTTATATATTATGTATATGCATTTGCATTTTTAAACTTTGTACACCACTTTGAATCCTACCCATGGGAGAAATGTGAGATAGGAAATGATTTAATGATGATTTATGTATTTATTATTTATTTATTTATTTCACAGTTTTGTATACCGAGCTTCTCAACCTCGTTGAGGGACTCAGCCTGGTTTACAGCCATAAAAACATATACATTCATTAAAATAGCATATATCACAAATTACAAAACAACTTTAAAAACACTAAATATAAAACTACAGTGGTCAGTCATCCTAATAAGATGGATCTATATCCACTTCCATCCAGAGTCCTATGGTGTTGTCTCATTCCTCGAAGGCCTGACTCCACAGCCACGTCTTCACCCGTTTCCTAAATGTTAGGATGGATGGGGCGGTTCTGGCCTCCAGAGGGAGAGAGTTCCAGAGTCGTGGGGCCACCACCGAGAAGGCCCTGTCCCTCGTCCCCACCAGCTGCGCTTGCGAGGCTGGTGGGACCGAGAGCAGGGCCTCTCCAGATGATCTTAGTAATCTTGATGGTTCGTAGGGGAGAATACGTTTGGAGAGGTAAACAGGGCCGGAGTCGTTTAGGGCTTTATAGGTCAACACCAGCACTTTGAATTGTGCTCGGAAGCTAATTGGCAGCCAGTGGAGCTGGCGTAACAGCGGAGTGGTGTGCTCCCTGTACCCAGCCCCCGTTAGTAATCTGGCTGCCGCGCGTTGGACTTGCTGCAGCTTCCGGGCAGTCTTCAAAGGCAACCCCACGTAGAGAGCATTGCAGTAGTCTAAGCGGGATGTAACCAAAGCGTGTACTACCCTGGCCAAGTCAGCCCTCCCAAGGTACGGACGCAGCTGGCGCACAAGTTTTAATTGTGCGAATGCTCCCCTGACCACCGCTGAGACCTGGGGTTCCAGGCTCAGCGATGAATCCAGGAGAACTCCCAGACTGCGTACCTGAGCTTTTAGGGGGAGTGTGACCCCGTCCAGCACAGGCTGTAACCCCGTACCCTGTTCGGTCTTACGACTGACCAGGAGTACCTCTGTCTTGTCTGGATTTAGTTTCAATCTGTTGTCCCTCATCCAGTCCGAGACAGCGGCCAAGCACCGGTTCATGACCTGAACAGCTTCCTTAGTGGTAGGTGGAAAAGAGTGATAGAGTTGGACATCATCTGCGTACAGATGACATCGCACCCCAAAACTCCGGATGATCTCTCCCAGCGGCTTCATGTAAATGTTAAACAACATAGGGGACAGTATTGAGCCCTGCAGGACTCCACAGTGCAATGGCCGAGGAGTCGAGCAGGAGTCCCCTAGTGACACCTTCTGGGAGCAACCCTCGAGAAAGGACCGGAGCCACTGCAAGGCAGTACCCCCAAGACCCATTCCCGCGAGGCGTCCCAGAAGGATACCGTGGTCGACGGTATCGAAGGCCGAAGAGAGGTCCAGTAGAACCAACAGGGACACACTCCCCCTGTCCAGTTCCCGGCGCAGATCATCAACTAAGGCGACCAAGGCTGTCTCAGTACCATGTCCCGGCCTAAAGCCCGACTGTGCCGGATCTAGATAGTCCGTGTCCACCAGGAATTCCTGGAGTTGCGAGGCCACCACACGTTCCAAGACTTTGCCCAAGTAGGGGAGATTGGAAACTGGCCGAAAGTTGACGAATTGAGTGGGGTCTAGTGATGGTTTTTTCAACAGCGGTTTAATTACAGCTTGTTTTAGGCTGGCTGGAATCTTGCCTTCCCGAAGGGAGGCATTAACCACCACCTTTACCCACTCTGCCAAACCCCCTCTGGCTTCTTTTACCAGCCAGGAAGGGCAGGGGTCTAGGATGCATGTGGTAGGTCTCGCCTCTCCCAGAACCCTGATGACCTCGTCGAGTTGAACAGATTGAAACGAATCCAACAAAACTGGACAAGCAGATGCTTGAGTTACATCCTCAGAGACTGCAGTTAATGTGGTGTCAAAGCCCGCGCGGATCAAAGCGACTTTGTCCGCAAAGTACTGAGCAAATGCTTCACAGCACGCTGCCGAGTCGTCAGGGGACCCACTCGAGGTGGGATTCAACAACCCTCTGACTACTCGAAACAGTTCTGCCGGACGGTTCCTTGCGGACGCAATATTGGCCGAGTAGAAAGCATTTTGCGCGGCCTCTATTGCCGCGCCATACGCCCTTAGATAAAGGCGTAGACGTGTTCGGTTTGGCTCGCTGGGCTTTTTCTTCCACACGCTCTCTAGCCATCTCTTTGTTCGCTTTAGCTCCACCAGCTCCTCGTTGAACCAAGGGGCAGGTTTCGCTCGGCGACTTAAGAGAGGGCGCTCCGGAGCAATCGTGTCTATTGCCCTAGTCAGCTCCCTATTCCAGTGAGCGACCAGGGCATCGACAGAATCACCATCCAAGGCAGCGGAAACATCCCCAAGAGCCATCAGGAATCCTTCTGGATCCATAAGCCTCCTGGGGCGGACCATCTTAATGGGTCCACCACCCCTGCGGAGGTTAGATGTTGTAATGAGTCTAAACCTGATCAGATGGTGGTCGGTCCATGGCAAAGGAGAGATTGACAACTCCTCCACACCGCCACCTTCTTCCCAGCCCTGACAGAAGACCAGGTCAAGTGTGTGTCCAGCACAGTGGGTAGGGCCAGATACTAGTTGGGACAGCCCCATAGTTGCCATGGTGGCCATGAAGTCCTGAGCCGCTCCTGAAAGAGTGGACTCCGCATGTACATTGAAGTCCCCCAGCACAACAAGCCGCTGGGACTCCAATGCCAGGCCTGAGACCAACTCTGCAAGCTCAGGTAGGGCTGTTGAGGTGCAGCGGGGTGGTCGGTACACCAACAACAGCCCTATTCTGTCCCGGTCCCCTAGCCTCAGGTGGACACATTCAAACAAGGTCGACTGTAAGGCTGGGCCTCTGATCAAGGAGATGGAATCTTTATAGACTATTGCAACTCCGCCTCCCCGCCCCCCGGATCTCGGTTGGTGCTGCACAGCATAACCTGGTGGGCAAAGCTGGGTGAGATTCACCCCTCCAGCCTCGTCCAACCAGGTCTCCGTGATGCACGCCAGATCTGCCTTTTCCTCCAGTATCAAATCCTGGATGATTGATGTTTTCCCATTTCCCATTTCCCATTTCCCATAGTAGTAGTAGTAGTAGTAGTAGTAATAATAATAATAATAATAATAATAATAATAATAATAATACCTTACTTGGATCTTTGCACATCATTTGAAAATACATCACACAATCCTAAACACTTGAGAAGTGTTTGACTTGTGATTTTGTGATATGAAATCCAGCATATATATCTCGTTTGCTGTGTCATACTGTGCTTTTGTGTAAGTAAAATAATAACTTAACCTCTCCTAACACATAGTTCCATAGCCTGGGATTGGCTGCCAAGAAAGCTTGGTGTCCCCCAGATGTATACAATTCCCATGATCGTTCAGATGATCTATGCAAGGAAAAATGTACAGGGTCAGTGGCTGATGACTGGCAGGGTACTCATGCTGACTGATTAGTTTAGTGTAAGTGTCACATAGAAATCCTAGCTTATCTTGTCTTCACATGCAAGAGTGGACATTTTTCAAAATATTTCTCATCACCAGATGAGACAGTGAAAGGTTTGTGTCCCCCCCCCCCTCCCAAAGAGACTGCTGGCATCTGTAAGATCATTTATCGTACAAACTGCTCAAAACAATTTAAAGCAAATTGTAATTACTCATGTTTTGTTGCATGGACATTTGAAGCACAGATACATTGGATGGATTGTCTGTGTATTTTTCATTCAATGGGAAGTCACCTCCTCTCAGCCTTAGAGGAGGGCAGTTGGAAACTCACTCTGAACAAATCTTGCTGAGAAAAACCCATAAATCAGAAAGAACTTGAAGGCACACAATGAGAACAAACAAGGAGGAAATTTGTGCA